GTGTGTCAGCACGACTTGGAGCAGGGAGCCCGAAACAGGTACACAGCACATTAAAAACACTGAAGGTTTGCTGTGAGGGAGCGCATGCATAGAATCAGAGGAATAGCCTCTCCTCTGCTCTGTATAAAGACTTTAGTAATCATTAGTAATAATCAATAATATATCAGCAGCTCTGAAAGGAAGGAAAATGGTGATCATAATATTCGTAGTGAAGGATATTATCTATTTAGCTGTGCAGTAAGGTTTTATCGGTGTAAATATCAACACAACTTTTTATTTTTGTCAAGCTTTTAACCATGCTATTGTATTAAAAAATTAAATACACACAGACACATATGCTATCATTATCCAGTTTTTGTCAGTTTAACCTGGAGAAATTCTGAAACGTTTGCTCAGGTTTATTAGTATTTCACCAGTCATTAGTCAAGCGTCCGGTTTTTGTTTTGAAAGCTCAAGGTTAGTCTCTCTCACTGCCAAATTCACTCACAATTGGAGAAATTTCCACTCGCATACATGCCACACAAACAACCCTGATGGACGGTCATGCTCAAGACGGATGTTGTAGGAACGTGTTAATGAGGAACTTGTGCAATTAGGGGGTTGGTGAACGTAAACCTAATGGTTTGGGAGAAAAACAGCTCGTCTGACATAAAGATATCTGAGCTGAAAGCCTTTAAGTAGTGCGATTTTAGTGATAGTCAAAATTACTGTCACTTTTTCCTCTGTTATTGTGTTTTATTTGATGTTCGTGTCAGGATACATTTAATTCATAAAAACAAAATGACTAGAAATGCATGAATTAGCAATAACAAGCTATCAACAACAGTCTCTGTGGTTGACATGCTCAGAATGTATGTGACATGTCATGTGGTGTGACTTGCAGCTGTAGCACAAGATGTTAGCAAAACGCTGAAATGATGACAACTTGTCTTAACACATATCATTTTAAATATCTGATAATGTAAATGTACTATATCCAATCTTGGACGGTTTGTGCACAGTATCAGCACTCCGTCCCTGAAATTTCCTTTTTATATCCATAGTAATGGAGAATTATACCCATCCCCGTTTATAAACATATTGCTGAGGGTAAAGCTGCCATAACACTGAAACGTGACATCAAATAACGTGTCCTGTTATATCACAAATCATGCGTTTAGAATGCATGGTCATGATTTTTTACACTCAAGCATATTCAACTGAGTGTGTCTACTAGAGCACATTCAAGATGCCACACTGTTCTCAATGGAATATTTTAGGAAGGTGGGGGAGATCTTGAGACCCATACGGGGTGGTTTTACTTCAGTCTATGATTGTAATGTCACACCTGTGCAACAGTACCAGTAGCTTGAATATTGTACTCTGTATGATCATGTCCTGACTGTGCGTGAGTATGTATGTGTGAATATTGGCTTGTTTTAATGCATCTGCAAGTGTGTTTCACTCCCCAATAGTTCTTCTGTTGTGGGGACATATTCTCCTCTCCCTGCACTTAAATTGCTCTGTGACACTGACAATTGCACAAACACACAAAACATGTTACATAGCATCACAGCCTCGGCCTTGTAAATAGGACATAGAGTGATTTCTGACCCATCACAGCACACCTTTAATTAAATTACTATAGTAAGGGCCAGTCTCCTGGACACTGAATAAAAGTTACAGACCGGTAATCGGTTTGACTGATATTTGGGGGTTTCTTTTACCAATATTCACATTTTCTACTTGGCTGTCTGTTCTGTAATATTCAGTCTACTGAATAAGTACACCATCTAGTAGATGTCTAAAGAATAGCAGCGATGCCATTACACCACTATATGTTCACATGTAAAATAAAGACTTGTAAATGTTTGCATAATTATGTCACTTTTTACGTGAAACAATGAGAAACATGAAGCATTTTAACCTTGAGACTTAGACATAGACCACATAGACCAAACAAAGATAGAAATGAATTTGCAACTGATCTACAACAACTAAACACAGAGAAAGTTATAAATATATTGCAAAAAAAATAATGCAATTATTAGTATTTGTAATTATTGAGAAAATAATGATAATACTTATGTTTTTGCTTAATTATTTTAAATGACAATTAAAAAGTGAAACACAATAACCTTCATTACAAAAAAAATGTATCTATTCAGGATTTGTCTTCAGTTGTGTCTAAGAGACTGGCTTTAACAACCAATGCTCACAAAACCTCAGCAATCATTAGTGTCTAATTGGAATATTGACTTGAATAATGTTAATCAATTGCTTACATGCTAAACAAATAGTTGCAAGCCTACAATTAGTATGTGAAATTCAGGTATTAAGACGTGATGATTGTTTAACATTTTTTTGTACAAAACAAACTGTTGGTGCTGGAGGTTTAATATTTTGATCTTTCACAGCGTTCACCCCACCACTCCTACAATCTAATCTTGTGAGCAACACATTCACATGTCCTTGTGAAGCCCCCACCTCCCAACAACAAACATGCACCTGTCCATTCTGGAGCATCTGGAGGTCACTGTGTGTTAATGTTATGGACGTCAGTGGAACTTTGAGTTTGCATTGCGGTCTTTTCTACTCATTTCTACTTGTAACCTGTCACTCTTTCTATTCATAGCCAAATATGAGGCGGGCCTTCCTGTGTCTGTGCCAATCACAGACCAGCGTGGTCCTGGTCTGACGGTCTCCCAGTGTGGTTTTATAAATGCACATTTTTTTAAAGAACTTGTTTTGTTTTTCTTTTTTTCTCATTGGTTGATCTGTGTATAAAGAGGCAAAGTTCTGTCACTAGTATGCCACTCTATTCTAAATAAAACCTGATTGGTTATCTCTGTAGCTGCTGTGATTTAATTGGTTAAAAGCCTGAAGCTGGCTATGGTGGAATAACATAGTAGCCTACTATACTATTCTTGTAGTATGCATACTACGTACTTAGAATTCTGCATCCTACTATGCAATGTGCTTGACTTAAGTTAATTTGCTGTCATGTATGAACTAGAAGCAACATCAGCAACAATTTTAACATCACCATCATTAATTGATCAGGCTACCAGGAGTTTTACACAAAGGTAAAATGTATTTAAAAAAAAATCAAAATAAACGTTTGAGAGGATGGGTGGACTGAATACCACTCACTGAATTTGGAACAGGGTTAACTAAAACTAGCTAACTAGTGAACAAAGCAAGATTTCTCATCTTTATTTAGATTAACTTGAACTCAAATAAATAAAAATAAAATAATAATAAAAAAACAAGCCTATAGACATTTAAAAATAATTAGAATTAACATGAAAATGAAAAATATTAATAAAAACTAATAGTACCTCAATGATACTAAAATAACACCGGATAGCTGCAGATCAAGTTTTTAGCTTGTTTGTGAACTCCAGATTTTTATTCTTTGAACTGAACCCTTGTGATCTAATATAAAGTGTAGGCTATATGAAAGCAAAATATGTGTGCTCGAGAATTAAATTAAGTTTGACCCATAAATTAATTTCACAAAGAAAAATAAGGTCAGATGAGTCAACAATTAATTTAAAATGAAGACGGTTTTGTTGTTGCAGTCAATAACTAATAAAATTTATATATATACAAACCGTATATCAGTCCGTATGATTATAGGCATATACATACACTCTAAAAAATACTGGGTTGTTTCATCCCAACTTTGGGTCAAATATGGACTAACCCAACCGTTGGATTACATTTTTACATTACATTTTTAACCCAAAAGTTGGGTTAGTCCATATTTGACACAAAATTGGGTTGAAACAACCCAGCATTTTTTAGAGTGTAGACTGTTTTTTTTTCCAATATAATTTAATCTACAAACAATGAAAATACAACATTTAAGTCTACCACAGTGCTTACGAGGACAGATATTGTTGAATACAACCCTGTTCAAGACAAGTGAAATTACATGAATATTACTGAAGGTCAAGCGCGGCCAGTTGACGAATTACAGTTTAAGTCACTTCCTTGTTGGCTTCACGAGAGAGAGCGGGAGGTTGCCGCTTGGATTAACCCCTTTAATTAACCTAAGGACTACAGGATTTAAGCCATTTAATTAAACTGTTTAATTTGAATTGAAAATGCCGACACATTCAAAACATGGACACCTGTTTTTTAAACAAATGCAATTTTCTGTCTTCAGGTCCAGCGTGTGTTGATGTGGCACCTTGTGTGTCTCAAGGAGGCTTTTTGGAGTACATGCCCCCTCCTATGCACAGTCCTCCTCCGATACGGCGTGCTTCCTTGCCTCTTATCACGGCTTACAACCCCCCTACTCACACCGTGTCCTTGCTGCTGGACACACCTGAACACAGTGAGCCCAGCTCCGCAGACACAACGCCGCTGAGTTTGCAGACTGACACGGGGTTAGTATGAAACTAGGTTACTCATCTCCTGCAGTTCCTTTGTTAACCACTAGACGTCAGCACAGAGCTTATATAGTGATTTTCAGAGGTGGAGGTCTGTACTACAGTAACAGTAGCAGGTGTTCCTGCCACAGAACGCTTGATATGATTAGTAGTCAGCATAACTGGCCATAGCATTTGACAGTCTGATCACAAATAGTATGTACGCTACCGTTACAAAGTTTGGGGTCAGTGAGGATTTTTTCTTGTTTTATTTTTACATTAAATTGATCAAAAGTGACAGTAAGGATATTATCATCCCAACTTTGGGTCAAATATGGACTAACCCAACCGTTGGATTACATTTTTACATTACATTTTTAACCCAAAAGTTGGGTTAGTCCATATTTGACACAAAATTGGGTTGAAACAACCCAGCATTTTTTAGAGTGTAGACTGTTTTTTTTTCCAATATAATTTAATCTACAAACAATGAAAATACAACATTTAAGTCTACCACAGTGCTTACGAGGACAGATATTGTTGAATACAACCCTGTTCAAGACAAGTGAAATTACATGAATATTACTGAAGGTCAAGCGCGCATGATTGCAACAGTGTGACACTGAACCTGACGGAAACACGCCTGGTGTGCATGTCACGTGATGTAACCTGAGCCGCGTCTGCAGGTTATCAATCAATACTCAGGCTAGAGTTTGCGCGTCACTCAAGCTCAATCACTTTAATATATAGTTTACGGATAGAGGTCTGTGCGTGTGCGCAACACGATGGCTGAAGATGCCTTGTTTGCCAGTGATTACGGTGGGTGATTTGTTGTAAATTAATTGATTGACCCATTGTTTTTGACACCGATAATTGTCTAATTGGTCTAATTTCTGCACGGATAACAGGTCTAATGGTTTGATACTCAGGGCGGAGGTTCAATTTATTCTCTAATTAGCGGTAAATACGCAAGTGAAGAAAGCGTCACGTTTCACACCTTTAAGTAATGTTTATAACATTAATTAGATGGTAAATCTCTGGCAATAATATTTTTATTGTTCCCACCACACACTTTTTTTTTTAATTGTTCACGTTCTTTGAAAAGCTGTAGAATTCAACACATAAAGACAGTTTGCAGTTTTAAATTGTTTTTACAGTTTTACATTGTAAGAGTTATGAACTGTAATGACTAAAAACATGTAATATGAAGTTAAATCTAGAAAATAAGAGTTTATTTCATGAAAGGCGAGCCATGTCTCCAAGTTAAAGGGATAGTTCGCCCAAAAATGAAAATTCTGTCATCATTTACTCGCCTCATCTCGTTCCAAACCCATTAGACTTTCCTCTGAGGAACATAAAAAAAATAAAAATTCTTCTTTGGCCTTTACAATGGAGGTCAGGGGTAACCAAAACAGTGTGGTTACCAACATTTGTTAAAGTAACTTTTTTGTGTTACTTTACTAAATTTGTGTTAAATACTTTAACTAAATAAAGTCAGACAGGTTTGAAACAACATGAGGGTGAGTAAATGAGAACATTTTAGGTGAACTAGCCCTTTGGAATCAAAGTCTGAGAGTTCTATATGCCAGGCAGATAATAATGCACCTTTCTATGACAGAATGCTGAATCAGTTCTGAATTGAAGGAGATTTCATTCATTGCGAGTTTGCTTGTTAACATTACAAGCGTTCTTTTCTAGATAAATATTGTTTTTTTTCATGCCATTGTCATATTTACAGATGGTCCATGTCCTCTGTGTGAAGAGGATGAGCAGAGAGGGTATTGTAGATACAGAAACACCGAGCAAGAGAATGAGAGAGAAAAAAACAGTGATGGAGAAGAGGTGGAAGACAAGGAGTCACAGGAGTTCAAGAGGGACGCTGAGGTGAAACTAGAGAAATTAACTGAGGAGAATTGGACAGTAGGTCAAGAACCTGAAGATAGGAAAATAGAGACGGACAAGGAAGAAAACAAAACTGAAGATGTCACACAGAAAAATGAAAAAGGCACAGAAGATGACGAAGAGACAAACAAGAAAGCAGATAATGTAGAAACGGATGAAAAATATAACAAAGATGAGCAGGAAAGTACATTAGGTTTCAAAAATGATGAAACAAAGACAGTTGATGATGATGCAGAGGCAAGCAACTTGCTGGTGCCCCCTCTGGAGGATGACTGTTTTTTGCAGATGGGCCCAGACTGCACCATAGACCTGGTGATGGTGTGTGATCAGTCGGTGGAGAGATGTTTGAATGAAGACCTTTTGTTATGCCCCCCCAAATCTTCAGATCTCCCCCAGCAGCCCAGACCGTTATCTATCACATTACCCCCTCAAAATACCACGGTACTCCCCTTTCAGCCCCAGTCTCTACTTCAACCTCACCTCCCACCACAGGCCCAGCTGGAGGCCCCATGCTTGGGCAAACGGCCCTATAGAAGCAGGACCGATGTACCCACAGGACAGCTGGAGGTGACGCTGCGTCAGGTGTACAACACTCGCCGCTACACCCGTTTCGCCAGCAGAGTGGCCCCTCTTATACCTCTGGCCTCAGTTGGTGGAGAAACCAGCAGTCAGGCTTTACCCTCCATCAGCATGGATGCTCCTCTAATGCCTCCAAAGAAGAAAACTCGCACCTTCTACAGCACCGGTGAGAGAACGTACATATTAAAGGCATAGTTCACCCAGAAATGAAAATGTTCTTATCGGTTATTTACTTTCATGTAATTTTAAATCTGTAAAACTTACTTTCTTCTGCGGAAACACAATAGAAGATATTTGAATATCTTATATTAATATCTTATATTAATAAAGATATATTAATATCTTGCAATGTAAGTCAATGGGGTCCAGTGTTGTTTTGGACCCCTACTAACTTTCATTGTATGGTCAAAATATATGTATATATATATGTGTGTGTGTGTGTGTGTATGTGTATGTTTG